GCAATAGCCCTGTCTCACTATACTGCTCTCTACTGCTGCGGGTTTAAGGATCAATAATGTGGCATGCATGGGTTTTTGAGAGGTAAAAGGTTTAAAGGGCCTAAAGGATTTAAAGGGTTTAAAGGGTTTAAAGGGTCTAAAGGCAAAGCCGTTGTAATAATGAACAAGGGGGTTGCTGAATAGGGCTGAGCAAATAGACAAGGGACACTCCAAGATGGGATGGGTGATACTGGCAGCTCCATGGGACAATGGAGCCCCGGACTGTGAAGTGAAAGGACCACAACCCTGGGAACAAACGATTGGTATTGTTGCAAATTGTATCAACGGGGCGCTGGACCCAGTTTCCAGCAGGTGCCGCTTCCCACGAATAGATGGAGCAGCCTGGCAGATAAGCCCTCAACTCTGACGGTTCTCTTACCACCGTCGGGATAGCTTAGACAATAGACAAGAGCTCTTTTTGTGAAAAAAAAAAAAAAAAAAAAAAAACACCCTTGTTCAATACCGAGCCCCCAATCGCTGGCAAAACTTTCCAACCAAGCAGAGTAGTTACTACGAAAGCTCAGAAAACTTACTAACCGATGTAATTACAATAAACACTCACTGACAAAAAACTTAAAATGGAAAACTAGGGCGCAATTAAGGTTCTCAGTTTTATTTTAAATGCGTTTCAGTCACGGTTTCGTGGATTTTACTCCGAAGCGAGGAAAACCATGCATCCAACCCACCCTTAGGGTTGGGTGGTGATGTGTTGTATTTGAGAGATGCCTGAAGTGGATTTAGAACTGAAAACGTGACTGCAATGTAGATGAAAGCAACATACAAGCACGCATGTAAGCGCACAATGCAAAGGATGAAGAAGAGACGAAAGAGAATAACCCCCGAGCGCATCAAAATATTACAATGAACCACAAGAGTAGTTGACGAATGGCGCCGAAACGCACGCGCCGTAGTCGTGGAATGAGGCGGTACTACCCTACACGTGTTTCGGCCGGCCCGCTAAACCGGCCATCATCAGGGGTGGGCACTGGAGATGAGAAAGAAAAGTGGAAGCTAACTAATTTATACAAAAAAAACGGTTGGGCCCGTCCGGACAACCGAAAGGATGTGCCAGCCAGGACCAGAGAAAGGTCAAAACCTAGAGGACCAGTGGATCTGAGGAAAGCCGAACTGGACAAAAAATAGGACTGAAAACGTGGAAAGAAAAAGAAAAAGAAAAGAAGGCCCCATAGTCCTATCCGAGACTAAACTGAACGGGGTCTGAAAAACTAACAGGGAGCCAAAATGAACAGGGCCTGGAAACCCAGAAAAGATCAAATTGTAAACCAACAAGATCAAACCAACTAATAAGGTCCCTTGTTTACCCAATTGGTAAAGCAAGAGACCCATGCCGACCAGGCACCTCCAATGCGAAAATTGAAGTTAATCAGAGCCTTATCAAAAAAGCAGTCAGGAAAATTTCGTCGCCTCAACTCCATCTTGAGCGTAAACAGAAAGATAGATTCAGCAGCTGGTAGATTGCCCAAAGCATACGCCCGATGTAAAAACGAGGTGATAACAGCTAGCTTTTGTTTCTTACTAATAAAAGAATAGAAATACTGCAAATTCTGAAAAATAATACCATTGCCCAATAATAGGTCCTCCTGGTTTTTTGTGCATAGCCTGACAGTAGATACGTACAGGTGTACTACCTACAAGGGTTCTACAGCCTAAATAAGGCCACCGATCACCATTGCTCGTCCTCTCCAGAACCAAATGTTTATCGTAACAATCAGAAGCGAAGTCCTGCGTAATCTTAATGGCTATTGACTTGGATTCGGGTCGCGTCTTCTTATACTTACAAAAAGTGAACATCATCAATCAATCTACACTCGAAAACCAGCCGAGCGTCATTACCCCGATTCCTAAGAAAAGTAAATTCATTATGAACACAAAGTAAACACGCTAAAGCCGGATTGGAAGATTTGCCCATCGGTATACCTAAGTTGTGCTTGACAACCTGACCCATGGCAAGGGTAAAAGTATGCTCCAGATCATAAACCAAAAATAAAAAAGGAAGTGAAAATTTAACCAACTTAAACCCTGTTTCAGAGCATGCAGACTTACGCAAGCGAACACACTTCTTTCTGGCTTTGACAAGGAATTTGAAAAAAACCTTCTCCTAAAAAAAACCAATAGCCCATTCAGCCGCAGAGATAATGGAGGAGTGAGGTAACTTACAAAATATTTCTTTAACATCAAAACTGCTAGAAATCAACTTATTGAAGGGGCCGATACTCTTATTAACTTTGGAAAGAAAAAAGGGTAGAAGCGAGGTGCTGCGAAGATTGAAATGATCGGAGATAGGAAACCTCTAAAGGATTTCATTGATACAAAGGGAAGAGATCCGGGCTGCACGACGAGAAGGCTCACTCCAGGAAGGGCAAATAAGACGCCACTTGTTGACGTCCTTATGCTTCGGAATGATATACGATCGACCTGACTTACCTCAGGAAACCTATGGTGCTAATTGTTGCAGTTTCAACTTACTGTAATCCTTTTTACAACTTAGTAAAACAGCCTGCTCGGTATCATCGACGACTGCTAAGCCTGGATTCTCAGTGAAAAGCTTCCGCAAACCTCCCGCATAAATGGTGGGACAACAAGCATAAGTATCCCCGGTATTGTGGTCCAATGGGGTGAGCACCAGTCCCTCGAGCAGTTGCTTGCAATCGCGCACTTGATTTTCTGTAATTGCGTTAGTGCCATCATTACATGCCCTAAAGCAATCGGTCAAACCATGAAAATGAAGAACCTCGTTAATACCAAAGAAGTCCTGGAAAGATTGTCGTAGTTGTTTAGAAAGAGAACCAAGATTGGTAGAGTAATCCGGGCGGACAATATTTTTGGAGTTGCTAAGGAAAGGGGGAAGACCAACCAATTTATTGAACCTGAAGGAGACATGCCCAAGGTCATGAGGGAAATCCTAAAGCAAATGTGTAATGTACAAGCCGACTCAGAACTAGCTGCAAAGTCCCTGAAATTATGGAGAATGTCGGCAACAGAAGAGTTCTTCGTCCAAGACGTTTACAAATGGAATGAAGATAAGACAGGGGAAAATCAAGACCTAGAATCTATGAATCCCCCTCGGCGGCGGCCAAGTGCGGCCGAATCGGCGGACGCGGCCAGTCCGCCGACCCCGCGGACGCGCGGCTTTGCCGCCACGTGGCGCCCAGAGGGGAAGGGGGTTGGGGATTCGGGAAGCGCCATGGGGCGGCGCAACCCCGGCCCCACCCCCTCACACAAAAAAAATTGAAAAGAAACCAATTTTTGATTGGGGTGGGGGGGGGGTGGGCTGTGGACGAGGAGAAATAAAGAAAAAAAAAATGAACGCGTTTT